CTTCATGTTCTTATTTTTACATGCCCATGTCATTCAATGGCGTCACTGCACCGAGGGCTACTTACTAGGTTACCAGGCATCAGACGTCAAGCGAACACCATTCGGTATTGTACCTATAAGATCAAATTGATGTAAAAATGATTGCCGGTTATATAAATTTAGCAAAAAAAGTTTTTTACATTTTAGTCAATAGAATAAATTTAGTCGGCGATTATTTTTACATCAATTTGATCTTATAGGTAGGACCACCACTGCATCAATTAACCTTGTGCGAGGAACCACTGAACCAAATTTGTCACAGTTGCTTCAGTTCTTGGTGGTGCAAATATTTCACAATGCCATCATAACATGAATATCCCCCGTGATTGTTATTCTGACTGTGGCTGACTGCATTCTATTAAAAAAACAAACGGTTTATAAAATGGTTCTGAGGGTACTTTTCTTTACAGAATGATTCTGAGGATCTTAGATTTCGATGGGAATAAACTTCAAAAAACAGCTTTATAGAATGAGTTGAGTAGTTACAAGTTAAACACATTTTTATAGAGTGCATCAGCCTAGTGTCAACAAGTACCAAAAATCAATTACTTTCCCTTTATAGAATGCCTAGATTTGGATGATCATATCTAATGATATCCCAAGATACTCAAGTTCTGATCCTGACTGATTGTATATGACATAGATTGAAAATACTTGAAAAAGATAGAATGGATTGGTCCTCAAATTTCATCAGCCTCATTCTCATGATTGACATGAAGTGACAACTCAGCAAGTGAAGTTGGTCCAAGTGTACAGCCGAGCACTCAGTCACTCAGTGGATGAGACGGAGTACAACAAATTGCTTTGCATCGGTTGCCGCACTTGACAATGGACCACGATGGACCAGCACGGATCCACAGAGACCCGTGGTCCGAAAGGCAAAACCAACACACACATTCATTGCTTGTTGCCCAGTTTGCCATTAGCCAGAATGAAGAAGGATGAATGAGGATTTTGATGGTGATGATGATGATGCTGGATGATAGGGCTGAAATATGCTGAAATATCCAAGATCCCAGGTGTTGTTCCCGATCCAAAGCAATCTCTATTTGTTTTTACGGTATAGTACACTGTACAATGCCTTGTCTTGATTCCAGAGATGCACAGCTGCAGTATTTTGTTCTATCTGGATATCGTATATATACAGTACGTTGCTCTGTCACAACTGTGTGTCCGAATTTGCCTGGTGCGTCAGCCGTGTTGGCCATGTTTTGACCTGTGTATGCAGGTCTGATTTTCGAAGACTGGCAGTGGAGTTCTCAAAACACATGGAAGCTGGCTTGGAGAAGGAGGGGATTGAGCTCATGCGGGGAAGCTTTTTTTCAGGGGTCAATGATGCTTGGTTGGTAGGCGGACCAAACATGAAAGGATCATTGCCAGCGATCCGGGCTCTGAAGGCTCATCGGGTGCAGCAGCAGAAGGAGACCGCTGCTGTAGAAGCAAAAACGCAACTGGCTGAGGATTTGGAAAAATTGCAGCAGAGTGCTGCCAACAAACCGGACCAAGAGCGGCAAGTGATCAGGAGCACTGTGAAGACAATTTTCGCTGAGATGGATGACCCGAGTGAGATCCTGGAGCGTGCCTGGCAAACTGTCCACGACATGCGGTCGCAGTTCAAGGCAAACCAAGATGCTGAGGCTGGCTGTTCATGATTGTCTGTCATCATCTATCATCTGTCCTCATTCGAATTTTCCCATTGGGGCGAAATCATTTCAATATGTTTCAAAATGCTTCCCAATGGCTAGTTCAAATTGATGCTAGAATGGGTATTGACATGTATTGACCAAGAGCATCAGGTTGCGAAACAGTGTGACGTGGTGCACATGAAGCTTGCCAACCCTGGTGTGCCTTCTTCGTGGCTGGACAGAGTTGGCGATGGTGAGACCAAAATCATTTGTTGGTGTGACCTGAACATGGTGGAAGAGCAGGACAAAGTCCCTGCTGCAATCCTCTCTTTGCTGGGAAAGGGAGGCGCATTCCCACTTCCTCCGAGTGACAA